CTCAGGCCTACGAGAGCCGGTCCCCGCCTCGAGCCATCATCAACAGTGCAGGCTACAAAATCCTCACCTCCGTGGACCAGTACCTGGAACTCGTTGGCAACTCCTTACCAGGTAGAGGTCCCCCTTGGGGCCCAGACACCCTGCACAGGCCTCAGGAGTTGGCCAGGGCGGGGCACGGCCTCAAGGACCTGAGGGGCAGGGGGTGCCTGAGGCCACACAGTGGACTGGGACGGACCAGCAGGGCACCCCCCACCCCAAGTCCTGCTTCCTGGCCTCAGGTCCCACAGCTGCAAAGGGGGGGCTCTTGCTCTGTGGCTTGCCCACTTCCCTTGGTCCTTGCCAGCCTCCCAGGGATGACGGGTGACGCTGCCCTGTGAGCTGCCTTTGCGGGGTGTCCTTATCCTAGAAGTCCTGTTTCGCCTCACCCCAGTGAAGCTCCCCAGAAGCCTTACAGGGCAACCTCTGCCTCTCAGATGACCCCTGAAACTGTGGGGCAGGGGCACATGCTGGCCGGGGGGGGGCCCAGAGCCCTGTGAAGGTTGAGGTCCAGTTGGAGGTGGCATCCCTGTAGTCTGGGGCCACCTGGGCAAGGTGCTTCCCCCTCGGCACGAAGAGGACCGACCTTGGGGTTTGTATACCCCGAGAGGGCCTGGGTGCACAGCCCTGCACAGGCCAGCGCTGAGCCGGGGCGCAAAGGGGAGCTGCATTGTCCTGAGATAAGGACAGACCTGGGGTCACAGCCAGCACAGTCATCTCGCTGGATCTCAAATATCCCAGAGGATAAAAGAGAGAAAAACTCCATTCGATTTGCTCCGTTCCCCACCCCCTCCCCCCCATGCCTTCCTCCCTGCCGGACGTTACACCCCTCTGGCCTCTGCAGTTGAAGTGTGAAGGGAAAACCAAGAGGGCAGAGCTCGGCCTTTGGACCCGAGGGTCCTGGTGCTCATCTGCGCGGAAGCATGGGGGAGAACCTCACCTGAGGCAGTGGTCTCACTTGTCACTAGCTCTGAGAAGCAAGTCTAAACGCATGCTGGGTTCTGAGGTTCCTGAGCCAGGCTGTGGCGAGGCTGCGGCCCCACCCCCATGACAGGCCAAGCTTCTCCAGGCCTGGGCTGGGCAGCAGCTCCCTGCCGTCCCCTGGCCAAGGGAAACCTCAGAGGGCAGCTCTCAGCAGGTGCTGTCTCCACAGGGACCACATCTAAGTCCGGCAGCACCCCCATCCTCAAGTGCCCCACGCAGTTCCCGCTCATCCTCTGGCATCCATATGCACGACACTACTACTTCTGCATGATGACAGAAGCCGAGCAGGACAAGTGGCAGGCCGTCCTGCAAGACTGCATCCGCCACTGCAACAACGGTGAGTGGCCTGCAGGTGATGGGGCGGGGTGGCGCCCGCTGCACCTGTTACTGCGCTGAGCGGAGACACCTAGTGGCTGAGTGTGGAGGGGCAACCCCACTCTGAGCTGTTGTAATTTAATTTCCCTTCTGGGGTTGTGAGCCACTTCTGTGAAGCCATGCTTCATCCCCTTTCTGGATGAAAACAGTTCTGTGGGACTTGTAAAATATTAGAAAACTGGGTCACAGAATCACTGTTCTGTTTCTGCCACTTCCTTGTGACATGTTCTTAGAAGACTGGCTTCCCCTCTTAGAACCTCTGTCAATTAACCTCTCATGGGGGTTTGGGAAGACACCATGAGCGTCCACTCCTTGCTTAGTAAAGATTATTATTATTATATTAAGGTTTTTGCCATGGGGCGCATGCACTTGCCAGAGAGACAGACAGACAGAGGGAGTGAGAAATTACCCCTGTGGAGGATGGCCACACCACAATCCCTTCTCCATTCTCCTGGGATTTGGGGCTTGTATGGACACGTGCCCAGTATGATTTTCAAACTGCCAGATCCAGGACTTGAACTGCAGTCGACCATGTGAGAGTCCAGCACCGTAACCACCATGGCACCTTCTAGCAGGTGAGGAGGGCAGGCTCCTGTGAGGAGGAGACTTAAAGGACGAGTAGTCATGGAACAGGGCGTCCAGACAGAGACCGCCAGGGTGAAGGAGGAAGTGGAGTTGGCAGTGGTGACCTGAATGGAGCTGGAGGGGGGCTCTGGGGTCAGGGCTGGAAGGGCCTTGGGGGGCTCTAAGGACTTTGATCACAGACTTAGAATTGTCTCCAAGGTGAGGGTCTCGCTGCCCCTGGGGAAGGAACAGCCCTGTCCTGGAACCTAGACTCAGGGAAGCCCTACGCCCACACTTGGTCATAGCTCCACAGGTGGCAGAGGGACAATGCGGACACCCAGGACAGCCTCAGGGTGGCCCCACCCATCCCGCTGGGCTGCCTCTGCCCATCTGGAATCTGCCAGGGGGAGGAGCAGTCTCTAGTTAGGCCAGCCCCTGCCACCTGGGCCTGGTCCTGCTGTCCACAAAGGGCCTCCTGTTCCTGTCCCCCTGGGGCTGGGACTGTGGGCCAGGCGGGGTCAGGGACGCTGCCGGCTCGGCTGCCTGGCCTGGGACG